TACTGTAGTCTCCCCATGGACTCCAGATAAGATTCCTGAGGGTCAAAATAATAATAGGGATGCTAAAGAATAACACTTTCCGAAAAATTGTAAGTATTCTGCAGACCTTATTCAATTTTTGCTTTTCATATGCCTGCAAGACAGGCAGCAGCTACATTACTATCAGACTAGAGAAAGCAGACGGTTTGTGACTTGAGAAATGTCACTAGGTGAATTAATTGTGGGGCTGTAAAAAGAGCCAGGCTTTTATTTTTTCATTTTGAGCCTAGGTCTCCCTCCAGGCCCACCTTCCTGGACCCAAGGTGCTACTGTGTAGGAAACCAGTGACTTCATCATGCTTCCATGCTTCTGTACTTCCTCTATTCTGTAAATCTGAATAAGCACAAGGGCATTCTACATAGACTCTAATCTCATTGAACTTGACTTTCTTGTCCAATTCAGACTAGGATAAAGGGCCCAGTTATCATCATCTTCCCATTCATTCAACTTTATTTCAAGGCAACTAATCCTTTGCTCGGCTTCATCCTCTGCTCTCCTCAACCTGCATCTTCTATTTTTTTTTAAATTTCAATATTCCTATCCTCTCTCCTTTCTTCTCTTCTATTTTTTTTATATTTCAATATTCCTATCCTCTCTCCTTTCTTCTCTCTTCTCTATCCCTTCCCGAAAACTTAAACCTATCCTCTATGCTTTATTCCTTTTATTGTTGTTTCTCCTCTATCCTGTTCTTTTCATTCATTCTCTATTTCTCCTCACTATTTGCAATCTCTACTGTGTTCAGATCCTTTCCTGCCCATTACTCTCTCCCTCCTCTTGCTTCTCTTCCATTTGCTTACTGTCTTCTGCCCATCCACATCTCCTCATTATTCTGTCCCTCCATCCACCTCATTCCATACAGTTTCTTTTCTGTTTACATCTACTCCACTCCATTCTTTCCACAATTGTGTGAACTCTTATCTCTTTTTCAAACTCTTCTCTTTCCTATAGTTTATTACAAGCATGCCTCTTCCATCTATTCCTTCCCTAATGCTCTGTTTCCCCAAATTCTCCTTGATATATTACATTCATTCATACCTTTTCTCTGTCCTATCCTCCCCACCTTCATTTCAACATTTATATATAACCTCATAAACTTTCATGCAATGTGAGAAGAGGTGTCCCTCTTCCTTTCAAGTAAAACTCTAACTGTAGATTTGATATCATCCCCTTTATGGTATTTATGAGAACTTGCTGTCAGCGATGTGTTATTTCTACTATATCTTCAATCTTTGTCTTCCTACTGACTCTTTTGTACTATCTTACAAGTATGTGTCAGTCTCTCCTCTGAAAACAATGGCAATTTCTCTTATCCCTGAATGTAGCTATGATACCTTCCTCCCTTTCATTTTCAAACAAGCTTCTCAAAGTTATTTTCTATGTGCACTATCTCCATTCCAACTCCTAAAACTCTCTATTGCACTAGCCACTCTATTGAAACAGTGTATGTGAAGAATACTAATATCCTCCATGGTACCAAACTTAAGACATACTTCTAAGTCTCTATATTACATCTCTTTCTATAGCCAACAATGTTGTAAAAATGTGTAAACAGGGTAAAGTGCATGAACTTGCAGCTACCCTACCATATTAATAATGCTGGCTTAACCATCTACTACCCAAGTTAACTTGAAAAATTCTCTTACCCATGTCGTGTCTTAGTTTTTTTTTCATCTGTAAAGTTGGGATAATAGTACCTATCTCATACAGTTACTAAAGTTGTTAGGAATATTATAAAAGTAGAATGATTAGAACAGTGTCTGTCATATTTTACACACTATATTGATGTTAATTAATATACTTATTATACTATTAGTGGTGTTATTGATAACTCTCATTGTTTTGAAACTTTAATTTATCAGTCAAGACAGGTTAGATTAATATGCAGTAGGAAACAATCTGAAAATCTCAGTGCCCTAAAGTAACTGAAGTTTATTTCTCACTCACACTATCTCTGGTTGGGGCAGGGGGACCCACTCGCTTCTATGTCATCTTCAATAAGGGGCATAGAATGATAGGGCAAAGACCACCTGGCATAATGCTACTTACCGTGGCTAGGGGAAGGCAACATGGCAAATTATGTATTGGCTCTTGAAGGGCTTCCCATCCTCTCTCAGAGCTGACACATGCTATTTACACGCACATTTGGTTAGCCAAAGCAAGTCATTTGTCCATGCTGAACTTCAAGGCTCAGGGAAGTATAGTACTACTTTGTACCCAGATGGAGGTGAAGTGAAAATATTGGCAAGTGGTAGTATTGACTACCACACTTAGCTTTCAAGGTACTGCACACTGTTAACAGCTCCCTGACATTTTCTTCCTGGTTTCTTTCATAGGTTCCTCTTTCCCCTCCACTGCCTTACTGATAGTAGTGCTAGATGACTAGATACCTGGCATGAGATTCTTCTTACTCTATACTCTTTCCTGAAGTGATGACATCCATTTTTCGTTTCCATTTGTTCCAATATAGTAACAATGCCATACTTTATATCTCTACATTGTATCTCTCCCTTGATCTTAAGACTCGAATATCCAACTACTATTAGACTTCTTTCCCTGGATAATCTACAATCACCTTAAGCTTATCTTGTCCCAAATTAACCTCACAGACTTATCTACATTTGTCCTAACTTTCATATCGTCTAGTCCAGCCTATAGTACCATCTTTCACTCATGTTATTTGGATACCTACTACCTTCACAACTCCTCCTCTCTGTCATTCTGAAGTTTTCTATATTTACTGCCTATTTCCTCAACATATCGTCACTTCTCCATCTTAATCCATTGTTCTGAATTAGAACACCACTTCTAATCTAGACTATTTCAGCAGTTTCTTAATCATTTTCTCTAATTCCAGTCTTTTTACCTTCAAATGCATTATTTACCCAGTAGCTGCACAGCCATATGAAATAGAAAACTGACCACCTCAGTCTCTTGCCTAAAATACGTCCTTCCATTCCCTGCAACTGCTCACTTGGTTTTCTCTGTCTAGAATGTCCTTCCTCTCTTCCTTCTGCCTAGAAGTTTCTGGACTGCATTCTACTTACATAATAATATAAAATGCTAATGTTAATACCAATAATCAGAAGCCTAGCTCTTGCCTTATCCAGGGACTCTTCTCTCAACCTGTCCCAAAAGAATGAGTTAGATGACCCTGCTCTATATTCCAATAACTACCCATCTCTTTAACATTTTAGTTAACATCATTTGCTATTATGCTATTAGTCTTTCTCCCCTATTATATTATGATTATCTTAAGAAGAGAGACTATGTCTCATTAATGTTTGCATTTCCAGAATTTACTTTAGGGCCATGTATATATTAGGAAGTCAAGACATGTTTGGCAAATGAATAAATGAAGGAAAGCTTCTCTTTCTTCTGCCTACAATTTCCCTCACTCTTGTTCATCTCCTCCCATGTCCTTTCCTCTACTTCTCTATGTCTTTTCCTCTTTATTCCCACCTACTACATCCACTTCATTATATTCTCCTGTCTCTTTAGGATTTCCTAATATCTAATCTAGCTTCTTTATTTTACACCATCTTATCCTTTGTCTTCTCAACTTCTCTACTCTTTTTTTCCTCTCTTCTCATATTCTCTTTCTTTTCACCTTTCTCATTTCTCCAATATATATGCCTCTATGTACTCTGTGTAATTAGTCTTCTCCTCCCCTCTCAACCCTCATCTTCCCACTTCTATCCACTTTCTTTCTTCATTATTTTATCCTCCACTCTATGGTCATATCTCCTCTATGCTCATTTTTCCTCCTGTCTCTCATCCAACTTCTCTCTTAAGTAATTATTATTGCCCTTTTTTCCTTGATCATCTCCTCATCTTCCAAATTCTTGTGGGAAAAACACCAATAAATAGCAAATTTGAAGTAATGAGAGATTAGTATACAGACAAACACACTTCATTTCTTCACCATCTATTTACCAGGCATGCAATATTTGAGTTTTCTTCTGCAAAATAACAAATACACCAATTCTAAATAGCCATAGAAGCTCCACTACACAAAATTAGCACTCATTAATGTGGGAGGAAGCTTCAGGAAGTGACAATTGATATCAGAGGAACAAGAAAATTCATAAAAAGCAAACCCAAAAACGAAGAATGTTTTTTAGTATTGGGGAAAGAATCTTATTGCATCGAAAATCCTTTCAAACTTATTCTTTTTGACAGCAAAATTCAATGCCTAATAACTCTATGACAGTAATAAGTCATGAAATAAATAAAATTGTGATATTTTTATCCATTGGGAGGTGGAAAAGTATGAAATATAATTTATATTTTATGAAGATTTAAATATTATATATACACACACATATGCACACACATATAAACACCATGTATAGATAGATAGACATAGATATAATCTTAAATTGTTTGGAAAATTCACTTATTATCATCCTCAGTATCCTAAGGTAATGTAGCATAAAATAAATATATTTAAATAAATAAAAATTTTAAATAAGTATTTTAAAATTTATCTTTATAAAACACTGTATGTTTCACAAAATACCCATAGTTATCTCATTTGATACTCACAACTCTGCATCATAGGGATAGTTTGCTGCTGCATTTAAACCTAGTCAATTCTAATTATCAGTGTTCATGCCTGTGTGTATGTTTTTGTGAATTTGTGTATTTAAGTGACCGTGAATACATATGTCCTTCTGTGTTAGTCCACATGTGTCTTTGGGTATGCATGCATACACAAATCATGAACGTATACCTCTGTGTTTCTCAAAATGTTCATCTATGCAACTCTCTATTTATGTGTTTATTAGAATATATATGTCTGTGAGTATGTATGCATGCAATTATATTAGGAAGTGTATATATACCTGTACATTTCTAATCTATACACTTGAGAGGATTTTCAGTGGATACTCTAAAACATTCTGCTTTTAAGCCCAGTCCTACTCCCAATATACTTTGGGTGGGAGCCACCACTCTCTGACCTCATTGTGTAGAGGAGGGTACCGTTGTCCACCAATCTGAGCAGCTTGTTGGGCGTGGTCATGTTATGAGCCACCGATTTCTTGCCATTGTGGAAGAAGGTGTCAGGTGTCCAGATCTTACTAGCCAGGAGATTGTTCAGTGGAAGGATTTTCATGGGGCCATCAAATTTCAGTCTTTCATCATGCCATGTCTGCCGAAAAAATACATCAATAGTGTACTCCTAGGGACGAAAAGAGAGATAAACAATGTTTCAGTTGAGTTCTGGTAAGGGCTCATAGTGCCCTTAGCAAATATTAATTACCTTGCAATATTTCCTCTGATGCAGAGAAGCAGCAGTCTATTAACAGTAGCTCCTGGTGTGTAAGGAAAATGATTATGATTGAGAAATAATGCCATGGAGATTAATAAACATGAGGATAACATATTTGACAAGGCGTTTTTTAGGAAGACCGCCGCCAACACATCCCCACACACCACACAAGTTGATCATAAGACTTTGCCTTATGAAAAAGCAAGTGCTCCCTCCTCTATGCAGTGACACCCAAATAAGAACGTTTCTTACCTTGTCTCTGCTGCTTAATGACCCCATCGAAGGCCAATATAAAAATCACCACAAAACCAAAACCTTACATTTTATCATACATTTAATCTGAGCCTCAAAATAACAATATGTCTGATTCGCGAATAGCTTGTTATCCTCAATAAATAATGAAATATTATAGATAAGATAAAAAAACATATCTTATAGACAAATAAGATAAAATGGGTAAATGAACAGCAAAGTCATGAAATGGATAAAAATTGCTAATAAATGTGAAGAAAATACTCAAATTTGCTGTTTATGTAAATACAAAATAAATTAACAATAAATGTTCCAGGTATTGGTAACAGTATAACAAATTATTTGAGTACATTTTCTTGCAGCTATTAATTATAAAACCTGAACAACAACTGTATATACCTGTATTTCTTGAAAACAGTGGAGTGTGACTGAAAGCAGACAGAAACCTAAGGTGAGTTTACCTTTGAAAGATGGCAGCAGCAATAGATTAGAATTGTGAGTTTGTGATTTTTCTTTCTTGAAGTTGCTTCCCAAACCTAGAATTCCTGTAGTATATACAACAGCCTTACTAGCTCAAGGTGGCAGAGAATCTGGACTACTAGGGATAGAAGACTCAAAAGTAAGAGCATCCCAGAAGGGATGGGCCTCCAAATCTGAATATACATTCTGCCAAAAATTCTGGCTGATCACTATGCTACACACAAATAGGAGAGACCCTGGGGCCCAGTTAAAAAAAAAATAGGCAGAAACAATAGGATAGTGGTCCACTAAATGAAAGAAATCAGCTGGATGATGTTTGTGAATTTGCTACCATTTAGACTGAAGGAATTCCTTAAGCCATCACAATTCAAGTGGAGGAAATCTGAAAAAGTATTAGCTTATCAGAGAAAAAGCTCTGGATTGGAAGATGAAAATTCATGAGGAAGTCCTGGGAACAAGAGAACCACTGAGAGGGTGAGTCCCAAAATCTGAGTATAACATCTCTTATGAAAGAGCTATTAGTGAATTGGAAAAAAAAATATGAGGAAAAATTGCCCAGTTCACATTTCAGACATATAACCGATAGAAAATATGAAAGGGAGGTATAGTACTATGAAGGATAAAAATAGAAGTTTCAGTATACATATATTACAATTCTAAATGTGAGAGATTCGAGAAAATAGGGGAGAAACAATATTCAAAGTAGTAATGGACTACAATTTCCAGAATTGTTGAAATATATACATCTTTAGCTTCAAGTACCATAATGAATTGCAAGCTCAATAAATTAAAATAGATCCCAGGCAGTGCATAATGAATTTAAAGAATACCAAAACAGAGATTTTATTTTATTTTATTTTATTTTTTTTATTATTATTATACTTTAAGTTCTAGGGTACATGTGCATAACGTGCAGGTTTGTTACATATGTATACTTGTGCCATGTTGCTGTGCTGCACCCATCAACTCGTCAGCACCCATCAACTCGTCATTTACATCAGGTATAACTCCCAATGCAATCCCTCCTCCCTCCCCCCTCCCCCTCCCCATGATAGGCCCCGGTGTGTGATGTTCCCCTTCCCGAGTCCAAGTGATCTCATTGTTCAGTTCCCACCTATGAGTGAGAACATGCAGTGTTTGGTTTTGTGTTCTTGTAAAAGTTTGCTAAGAATGATGGTTTCCAGCTGCATCCATGTCCCTACAAAGGACACAAACTCATCCTTTTTTATGGCTGCATAGTATTCCATGGTGTATATGTGCCACATTTTGATTTTAAAAATTGCAAAACAGAAAAGACATGCTACCTACAAAGACATGACCATTTGACTTATAATCACCACTTATGTTGACTTCTTAAGTGCAACAATAGAAACCAAAAAGACAATAAAAATACACTTTGAAAATGTCGTTGAGAGCAGAAGAAGATGGCACAATAGAAGGCTCCATTGATTGTGCCTCCCCGTGACCCCCCCAGCAAGGACACCAATTTAACAACTATCTATACACACACACAAAAAAAGCACCTTCACGGGAATTAAAAATCAGGAGAGCACTCACAGTACCTGATTTTAACTATGTTTCACTGAAAGAGGCACAGAAGAGTTAGGAAAAACAGTCTTGAATCACTGACACCACCCCTGCTCCATCCGCTGTCAGTGGTGGTGTGGCATGGAGAACTGTTTTGTACACTGACGAGGGGAGAGCACAGCAACTGTGAGACATTGAACTAGTGCTGCCCTGTTACAGCAGAAAGCAAAACCAGAACAAACTTAGCTGATGCCTGCCCATGGAGGGAGCATTTATCCTAGCCCTAGCCAGAGGGGAATCACTGATCCCAGCAGGCGCAACTTCAGTTTCCATAAGCCTTGCCACCTTGGGCTAAAGTGCTCTGGAGCCCTAAGTAAACATGAACAGCAGTCTAGGCCACAAGGGCAGCAATTCGTAGGTGATTTCTGGTGCTAAACTGGGTCCAGAGCCAGTGAACTGATTGTGGGGAGGCATATGACCTATGGAGACATCAGCCAGGGCAGCTAAGGGAGTGCTGGCTTCATTCCTCCCCTAACCCAAAGCTGCACAGCTCGCAGCTCCAAAAGAGATCCCTTCCCTCCACTCAAGTAGAGGAGAGGGAAGAGTAGGGAAGACTTTGTCTTGCATCTTGGATACCAGCTCAGCCACAGAAGGATAGGGCAGCAGAGTTGTGAGGCCCTTTTTATAGGCCCTACCTCCAAGATGACATTTCTAGAAATACACTGGGTCAGAAGGAAGCCCATTGCCTTGAAGGGAAGGAACCATCACTGGCAGGATTTATCACCTAACTAAAGTGCCTTTGGGCCCTGAATAACCAGCAGTGATACCCAAATACTATGTGATAGGCCTTGGATGAGGCTCTGAGATTTGCTAGCTTCAAGTGAGACTCAGTACATTTCCAGTTGTGATGGCTATGGGACTAGATTCTTTCTGCTTGAAAAAAAGTGGAGGGAAAAGTAAATGGGATTTTTTTTTTCTCCAACCTTCAGTACGAGCTTGGCCTCAGTGTGTTAGAGCATCAAGCAGGCTCTTGGGGACCCTGATTTGAGGACTTGGCTCCTGGACAGCATTTCTGGACCTGCCTTGGGCCAGACTGGAGGAAACTGCCCTGAAAGGTGAGTCCCAGGCCAGGCAGTATTCAATACAAGCCAACTGAAGAGCTTTTGGGCCTTAAGGGAACATCAGTAGTAGTCACGCATTATTCTTGTAGGGCTGTGGTGATGGTGGCCATGAGGTGAGGCTCCTCTGCCTATGGAAAGGGGAAGGTGGAGTAGGAAAGACTGCATGTTGTGGTTTGAGATCCAGCTCAGCTGCAGTAAAAGAGAAAAACCAGGTAGATTTCTATTTATGACTGTAGTCTCTGGCTCCCAGATGGCATATCCAGATCTGCCAAGGGCCTGGAAGAATTCACCACCCCAAACAGAAGGACACAGGCCTGGCTGGCTTTGTCATATACTGATTGTAGAGCACCAGGGCCTTGAATGAACATAGGCAGTAGCCAGGAAGTAGTTACAGGAAGCCTTGAGTGAGACCCAATACTGTGCTGGGTTCAGGTCTGACCTAGCACAGTAATAGTGGTGGTGGTCATAGGGGTGCTTTTATCACTCCACTCTCAGCTTCAGGTGGCTTAGAACATAGGGAGAGACTTAATTTGTTTGAAAGTTAGTAAGGGAAGCCATCAAAAGTCTTTACCTGGTAATGCAGAGAATTCTTCTGGATATTGTCTAAGAACATTAAGGCAGAACCTCTACAAGACTGCAAGAACCACAGTGTTACTGAGCTTGAGGTGTCCCCTAAAACAGATACAACTTAGATCACAACATCCACGTCCTTTCAAATATCTAAAAAGCCTTCCCAAAAAGGAGGGGTACAAACAAGCCCAGACTGAGAAGACTATGATAAATACCATACTCTTCAATGCCCAGATCTGATGAACATCTAGAAGTATAAAGACAATCCAAGAAAAACACAAACTCACCAAATGAACTGCATTACTCCATTCTCATTATAAAAATAAAGACATACCCAAGGCTGGGTAATTTATAAAGGAAAGAGATTTAATTGACTCAAAGTTCAGCATGGATGGAGAGACCTCAGGAAACTTACAATCATGGCAGAACGGGAAGCAAACACATCCTTCTTCACATGGTGGCAACAAGAAGTGCCAGGCAAAAGGGGAAAAAGCCACTTATAAAACCATCAGATTTCATTAGAACTCTCTCACTACCATGAAAACAGCATAAGGGTAACCACCCCCATAATTTAATCACCTCCCACCAGGCCCCTCCTATGACACATGGAGATTATGGGAACTACAAGGCAAGATGAGATTTGGATGAGGGAATAGCCAAATCATATAATTCCACCCCTAGTGCCTCCCAAATTTCATATCCTCACATTTAAAAATACAATCATGTCCTTCCAACAGTTCTCCAAATTCTTAACTAACTCCATCATTAACTCAAAAGTCTAAGTTCAAAGTTTCATCTGAGACAAGGCAAGTCCTTTCCACCTATGAGCCTGTAAAATCAAAAGCAAGTTCATTACTAACTGGATACAATGGGGGTACAGGCATTAGGTAAATACAGCCATTTTAAATGGGAGAAATTGGCCAAACAAAGGGGCTACAGTCCTCATGCAAGTCCGAAATC